TGGGATTACGGAAGAAAATATTAGGAGCGCTATCTGGGAAACTGTTGATTTCGTGGAACATTCGATAGGAAACACTATATCGCGATGCACGAAATAAAATGCCGGTGCTCAAACTTTCAAACACAGCGGCCGACTGCGAAAATAAAGCAAGCGGCGGCACACAGGTCTTCGAGGGAGTTTTCCCAACGGCAAGAAGTAGTTTTAAGAAAACCCTGATTTTTATCTTCTTGGCTGAGGTTAGAGTTATGATAACGATTTGTGATTGGGGTTGGGCATACTGTTGTGTGAGTGGTCGGCCGGCGGATTGAGAGTCAGGTTGCAGTGGCTCCTTCTTAAATCTTTCTAGAATCAATGGGAAAATGCAAATTACTTAAGCGATTTTTTTTTACTTTTTGAGGGCAGCCGGAAAGAGGCTTTTTCAAAAATAGCCATCCTTACGTAATTTAAATATTTTTGGTCTATGCCATACGACAATTAATAGTAATATTTTAGTTAAGTAGTCTTTTCTAACCGAAAATACATTTCGGATTATGACTAACATTTCATGAGATAGTCCATCTACTATACACTACTAACGGAAGGATTTCATTGGCAACTCACAAGAAGCTAACAAGTGATAGCATATGAGAAATGTGAAATTATGTCATGCGACAGTTTTTCTCTTAAAAAAAACACAAATGACATTCCACCTTGTGAATTCTGAGCCATGCCTTAGGAGTTTTTTCACTGTCTGCTCTTTTTGCTCAGTCACACCTGCTGGCTCGTGCTAAATGACATCATCCCATCTGATTATATTACTTGGAACAAATGAGGAGTCACCCACAATTACATAAACGACCTTCTTTGAAATGCTCGGCTTTGCCGATGCATTTCTTAACTACTGTGTACTGATGGGGAGTTCAACGGCGTTTGCCCATAGTCTCCTTAATAAACTTGACTTTTTTATCAACAGTCATCTCACACTGAACTGATTTTCTCGAGACAGATAAGTATGTGGATCTGCCTTTCATGAGTTTTGACATAGCATACTTGTTAGGCAGAAGTTGTATACAATTGTAAAAACTATACTAAACGTAACTACGCCATACTACAATATAATATATTACACTATACCAACTATATTATAATTATACAAACCATACGTTTGGGATCCCTCATGAATGGTCTCAACAAAAGTAGCATACCTGCTAGGCAGACGTCGTATACAACAGGGGCGGGTTCGCGCCGTATAAGACTCTTCACATCCACTTCCTTGTCCCGACGAATAGAAAACATTT